ATCAAAACCATGAAGACCATCAGGACTGCAGCATCCTACAACTCTGGTTGGAATTATTCATATACACAAAGCAGACTGGGATGCCCTGTTGAAGAACAGGGAATGTAAACGGAGCTTTGTGGATCTAGGCAAAGCCCTGAAGCTTCCATGAGGACCATGGACGCTTCTTATGTTTCTCATCTTTTATACCAAGTACATAATGAAGAACACTTAAAACTCTTCACTAGTTTTCTAATGTGCTTCAGAACTTTCCTCTTTATTTCTCTCCCTCTCTCTCTCTCCCTCCCACTGACAACACTTTAAGCAGCCCAAATCCCCTAAAGTGGATTAGCCTCCTTGTCTTGCGGGGTTATCTTGTTCAAGAGAAGATACAGGATAGAGCCATTAGGAATAACTACCCTCTTATTCTGTTAAAATGAAAGAATGGCAACAATAACTCTAAGAATTCTTCAGTGGCCTTGCATGAAGCACAGGCCTACACGTGGCATTAGAGACAAATTTGTATGAAGATCTTAGTTCACAATGTGCTACACAGTCATGCTTCACCCTTGTTACAACATGAGATGGAAGGTCATAGCCTGCCTATTGGTTAGAAGATTAATTACTCAAGTAGTATCAAACTTACTAGCTGGTTTGTTACAATTTACTGATGGAATCATTTTCTAAAGTACCTAAACTTTATCTGTAAAATAATTTAGTTATTGCCTAATATAGTGACATATTAACTCTTGAGTGATCTTAGATCTTTTTTTTTGGTTAATCTTGAACTTAGTTCTTCTGGGGAAATACACACACACACACACACATACACACACACATATACACACACACACGTACATATACATATAGATAAATGTAATCTCAGCAATTTCATAGTTATGAATAAAAACTTTTATAAATTGCTTTTTTATTGCCATGGCTTTGGATTCTTCCAACTTCTTATGATGTAGTTGAAGGTATCTGCCCATTTTTTGCTTTTATTCCTTCAATTTCTCTGCAGTTTTTTGCCATGTCCTATCTGTTAAAACTGCTTGTTTCCTTGTTACCTTTTTGTCATATATCATATGGCTATGTTTACAAGGTATTAATGAGAAGTATTTGAAGGGTCTGGTTATAGAGAACTTGGGGGGGGCATAATACTCCATTTTAAGTAAGTTATCCACAAAAATAATATCTGTACAGAATATATTTACTAGGGGTGAGTGATCTCACACAAAGAGCCCTTTGCACCCTTTTGTGCTTTTAAATATGTTGCAAATCAATAGTGTTTGATAGAGAGACATTTGAAGATTTAAGAAAAAAAATTGAAGTTGTAGTTTTAGAAACCAAAACAGCAATAAAAAAAAAATAAAGCTCAAGCAGTCTTTCATCCTTGAAATGAAAAACAAGCTCAAGGAAAATCGACATTGATATCTAAAACCATGATGCACTCATGGCCATTTAGAAATAGAACTCTGATTGGCTGTGTATTGCAGGTCTCTTTGGGATTATATCCACCAGATTTTAAATTTATGAGGAAAACACAGCAAAACATAGCCTCTATCAAGCATGGTGTGAACTACTAGCTTAAGTTAGTTCATATTTCAACATTAGATTGCACTCATTTCTTTAAATGATGCCACACCTTTGTAAAGCTGGGTTTTTCATTGATTGCTGTAATAAAAATGAATAGTGCACAAAAACCAATATGAAATTGGAAATGAGGGTGGCAGCATCCAATCTGATTTCAAGGTCTGAGAAGTTCCAGGAATATAAGTCCTCTTAGACTCCTAATGATTTTGTAATTGTGGATATTTTAAAAATAAGATAAAATATTATTTTAATGTATGTATATTGGTTCTCTCAAAGGGCTACTAAATTCTTAAGACATAAATTATTAAGTTGTTTGGACCTAGCTATTCATAAACAAATTGTTAGATATTACTTTTGACCTATAGAGTGCCATGGAAAAATTACTGAAAAGCTAAGTGTCTTGTAAAAGAATTTTGGGGATCTCTGAATCACACATTTCGTTGTTTGACACTGTTGCACAGTTTGAATCTGTTGATTTTTCTTTGAGTATAATCAGGAAAGGCCAAGTTACACTCTGAGAAATTATTTTGGAGTGTGTATGTGTGTATGATTCCTAGACTCTGTGGCTAAATATTCCCTAGTTCCCCATTCTACTTACACATAAATGGAGGCAGGGTTTTCTTAATTAGGTAGCTGAGTAGCATGTACTGCTTTCCACAACTCATACTTCCAGAGTGAGATTTGTGAGCATGCTCCATGGTAGACACGGGATAAAAACTCTTTGGTAGGGAGACTGCCAGTGACTTATTTCTGAGAAGCCAGGTCAGCAGGAGGTATAAATGAAGAATGATTTTGTGCTATTTGATGAAGAAATTGATCATCTCAGTTTGGTATCTCATTCTTGGATCAGTCCAAGTGAAAATTACCCTCGCCCTGGTCCCTACTACAAGGAATGTGAATATCCTTTTGAATCTTTGAGACAGCAATGTTCAATTATCAGTTTTTTTCTCTACTCTTGTCAAAACATCTTTACTCTCCAGTGTGTAACTCAAATTCATATTTCTTCCTAAGTCCTTCCTTAATCTCCCATTTGCAATTAGACCAGTCTTCATTTGTGCACCCATTCATACCAGTGCTCCCTATTGCTTATGTATGATTTTACCCCACTTTGTATACAAATAGAAATATTCTCAGAAAACCTCTGTCAATTTGTTTTAATAAGCCTCATAATTTTAGAAATAGCCACAAACAATGCTTTTTTTTCTTTTTTGGAAAACAAGTATCATTAACAAATTATGACTGTTGCTCATTATAGGCCTTCTTAATCTTGTGGGATGTATAAAAGATAATAATAATTCTAGAAAAATCTCAAGGTAAGTGGATGATACCCTGAGAGACTGACTGTCTTTGGCCATCCTCAAGGTGGAGAGCTATCAATATCCTAGCACACCTGTGACCCTTTTTTGGAACACCTGTGCACTCAGCATACTAGTTGGTAAGATAAGTTTTACTGTATTTTGGTTACATTAACATCTTTGTATACGTTTCATCAAAGAAAATTTATAAACATTGTAACAAATGTAATATATGAAGCGTGCATGAAGTTCCCATGAGATCTGTCTGTCTCCAAATCATTGAGCTTGTGGTTTAATGTTGTTATTGAAGAACTGTGCTAAACCCATGTCTCCCTGGGTCCTCTGTCCTCAGGGGAATCTTCTGAAGTGGAGTGAGTAAATGCTGGCCTGTTGAGATTCCATTGCCATAATCATTTCTTATTCATGGAGTATTTGTGGCTTAAGATATGTAGCACAGGCCAGGCACCCAGATGGATAAGCTTGACCAACCCAGAGTAAACAGTATAGGAAGTCATGAGTCCTTGGTGACCTGGTTCACATCTATGTCACTCTGATTAAAATCCTCCTGTTGCCACTCAAAACATTTTGAACAATATATACATTCCTAACCATGGCTTCCTTGGTCGTATGCTGTATACTACTGCTCCTCTGACCTCATTCAATCATTCTACAAATATTCACTGAGTACCTACCATAGTCCAAACATTTGAGACACATACGTGAGCAAAATTAAGATCCTTGCTCTCATGGTGTTCACATCTTAATGCAAGGAAAAAATAGACCCTACATTAAATATGTAAATAGAATGTTAGAGGTGATTTGGCAATGGAAAAAAACTGGAAAAAGGAAGTTGGGCAGGCTAATGGGGATTGAGAATAGCAGCAGGAGCAGCCATTATTTAGGGTCAGATAATACTTTAGGCTTTGTAGGTCATAAAGCCTCTGTCACAACTACCTAACTCTTCAAAGGCAGTTATAGACAGGACATTAGTGAATAGGGGTGGATGTGCTCCAATAAAACTTTATTTACAAAAATGGGCAGCTGGCCGGATCTAGCCCAGGAGATGGAATCTGCAGACTCTTGGATTATAGTGTTAAATCCTCTCTAGAAAATGCCTTGTTGAGAATGTAGATTTGAGAACAAAACTTGACAAGATTTTTTACATTTCCAGCATACAGTCAGCACCTAGAGAAGTATCTGGCACGTAGTACTCAATAAATATTTGTTAAACTAATTAAATAGATACTCAATATATATTTGTTAAATGAGTGAATGAATATGCATTTGCTACATGAATAAACTCAATATATGGGTAATTGTTGAATTTGTAATGAATGAAAAACTTGAATAACCAAGGGTCCCAGTTCTGAATATGCCATATATTACTAATTATAGCTAATATTTATTACACTTTTGATATGTGGTAAATACTAAATATTTTATTTATTGTTTATGTCTATGATAAGAACAAAATAATTTTTTTTATCTTCATTTTGTGGGACAAACAACTGAAGCAGAGAGAATTTATATTCCTAGTCTAGGGTCATAAAGGCAGTAAAGGGCATAGCCAGGATTTGATCTCTAAAGGAGCCATTCTTGAACTACTAAGAAAACTGAACACTTTAGCTAAAGTGAACTGATAAAAGCATAATTCTGGGAGTTGCTTTCTCTATTGAAATAAGCTATTCTATTTTCGTTATCTTTTTTCTTTTGAAAATATGGTGCCATGGACAAAATTCATTAGTTGGAGGGATTACTCAGATGTTAAAGGATTCATAGAGGTAATAGTGTAAATGAAAACATTCTTTATCTGCTCATTGTATCACATTTCCAACATTTCCAATTTCTTAATTTTCTCAGATCATTTACATATTAGTGTTAGAGTTATTAGAGTGGCTTGTTCTAATATTACTTGAGCTCTAAATATTCCCTAAAAGCTACTCCATGTCATTGTGATTGGCTCTGCTTCAAGATACACATGATAATGTTGAGGGCCAAGACTTCTCAGTCAGTGATATCAGCTGTCAACTCCAAAAATGGTAACACGGAAATACTGGTGTTAACACTGTTTTTGTCAAAGCAAGGACAAGGCTCTTTAGAAGTGAATAAATCTAAAACAGCCAATATTGCAGTCTCTTGAGCACTTTATTTGTTATAAATACAAGTCAATACCACAAGATGGCACCTTTTTACTTTCAACACCTACGATTACAAACAATTATCATCATAAAATGGTCTCCGCTTTTTAATGTGTTGTTTTAGATATTATTGAAACCTTATAAAAGCAAGACTTACTACAAACAGGATTGGTGTTCGATGTATATTAAATGAGGTCAGATAATTAAATTCAAAAAAAGAATTTATAAATATTCAGATAAGAAAATTGAAATTACAAAAGCAGAGTTTGTCATCATTAAACTGAATTACAACTGTGTGTGTGATTAATGCTACATCTACATGGCTAAGTTTCTGTTAAAATACAATTTTAGTAACCAAATTATTTACCTCATCCTCCAACATAACCACCTATTTCATTTGTACACTCTACCATCCAGGACACATTTCATTCAGAAACCACCTAGCTTTCATCTACTCCAGCAACTTCACACACTCTATTATATTCAGCCATCATCCCCTGGCTACAAAACAAAATACAATATTTAAAGGTAAAAACTCAGAGAATTTCTGAAATGGTAATCCATTCTCTCTGTGTTCATGAAAATAGGCAATCCAATTTGAAAGTCTTTAAACCAATGTAAACTCTAGAAAACTCAGTGTTGAAGTATGGGAAGAATAGAGACTTTGCACTAATATAGTGCATAACAATGCAGTGTCAGACTCGTCATTTACAGTAAATGCCTTGATTGGACTTTCCTCTGGATTGTCAAAATGCTGCTGAAGATCAAGTTTACTCAAGTCTGTGGGAATTCCATCATATTTTCTTCTTCCCAGATCCAAACAGGAAGAGAAGGGTTTTCAGGTCCCTTGGGAAAACCAAAAAAATAAAACACACCCACAAACAACTTGAAAACAAAATGGCAGACCTAATAATCCTTGACTCCATGTCCAAATGAAGTTGAGGCAATATTACTTTTGCAATATTTGTATTCTGCCCAATATATCACATCATGAGATTCCTCAAAAAACTGAGAAGTCTGAGAGCTACAAAAGAGAAAGCGGTTAAGGCAGTTGATGTCTACATTTGGATTTCGTTTTCAGGTTACATGTCTAAGTCTCCATCGTAGGCTAAGGTCAGAGGCTTCTGTTGGGGAGGTGTGCTTTGATGTGGTTTTGGCTTCTTGCTGCAAAGGGAAAAGAATTTCTCAGATAAAGAAAGTTCACAGAAATCTGTTTCATCTGCTAAAGACAATTTAAAGGCATAGAAATTCAAGTGGTAAAATGACAAAAGTTTTATTTCTCTGGATGTGTGTTTCTTTTTTTGAATATTGCATACTTTAATCTTCTTTTAAGGAGAAGCCATCAGTTTTCAAAATCTTAAAAATGGTTTAGTAGAATCAAGGAGCTTGGTGGAAGAGTTATTTTCCTTTCATGTTCTTGTTTATGCACAGCAACGTGGACATTCTGCTCACTAATTTTTAAGCTACTGTGACCTCCACATCACAAATGCTTAATATTGTAAGCAGCTGGAACAGTCAGGCCTCATCTTGGTCTTGTTTTTAAGTAAGCACACTTCTGCTCTGGCCTGAAACCTGACATTAACTGCCAACACCCCAGCTTTTGACAGGAAAATCTCACCAATTCCACTCTGTGCAAAGCCATTCTCACCTGACCCTGGTCTCTGCTTTACCTGATATCCACAACTTAACAATGAGAAGCTTAAGTTGGATAACATTTCCAAACTACTCAGTGATGCCCCAGATTTGGTGCAAAACACCTTGTATTATACTTTTTCTTCTTAGTATGGCTAGATCTCAATTTGTATTTATAAATACAACTTGAATTTGGCAACATATCCCCCATTTCCACCTTTTACCATACATACTTACCATTCCCTCCTCAATGACTTTGCTTTGCTTTGCCTTGCCTCAAAAGCTAGGCTCTTTTCTCTCTCTCTCTCTCTCTTCCTGTCTCCATGTTTCTATGCTTTTATGTTATAGAGCATCTATTGCTTACTGGATGCATACTAAGTGCCAAGCTCTATGCGGAGCATTTTACGTAACAATCTCAAAACATCCCAGAACAATGCCAGCAGGGAGACATTAGAATATTGCTACTTTACAGGAAAAACAAAAACAAAACAGAAAAAGACTAGCAGTGTTGTTTACCTTCCCTCAGATCACTGTGTGAGTGGCAGAGCCTGGCTTCTAAGGAAACTTAACACACAGACCCAAGGCTTCTAACCTCTTCACCATACTCTCCCTACATTATATACCATCACTTGGTACTCAGTTGAACTGACTTACTTTTGTCTGTCTATATGAATTAATTTTTATATTCTGAGTGAACTTAAATTTTGTTTTATTTTTAATGATGCCTTATTTAACAATATTTTGTTGATCTAATTTGATTTTTCATTTTTTTGAGAAAGTAGGATTTATCGAGAGGACAGAAAAGCTCCCACAGTGGGAGGAGACCCAAGGGGGTTGCCCTTAAATTTTAAAAATAATGTTAACATGTGCAATTCAGTTTCATTTGGTACCATCACAGTGTGTGTACCAGCATGACTACCTAGCTCCAGAATATTTTCATCACCCCAAAGGCAACTCTATACTCACCAAGCAGTCTCTCCCCTTTCTCCCTCTTCTTGTCCCCTGGCAAACACTAGTCAGCTTTCTGCCTCTATGGATTTTCCTATTCGGGATATCTCAAATAAATGGAATCACACCATATGTGGCCTTTTGTATCTGAGTTCCTTCAACTCAATAGCTAAATGGTGAACTTTGTGTCATGTGAATTTTACCACAATAAAAAAATTGATAAAATTAAAATGGTTGTACAGAGAACCTCCTAGTTTAAAGTGTTCAAGTTTTAATTTAAGGAGTGAAATTAATTTTCTGATATGATGTTTGAGGCAAATCATAGACGCTAAGGATAAATTAGTTTTTTAAATTAATTTTTTAAAAACCACTAAAAGGAACAGATCCTCTCAGTGCCTGCCATCCTGGACCCTGGTGTGCCATGGGTGCCCATTGAGAATTTGCTGAGTTCTGGGCATGACTGCAGGCAAACACCTTCCAAACAGAGAAGCTGAGGAGAGGCAAAAATGTGATTTGGAATTGTTTGTAGAGGGGGCCTTAGCCTTCGATTTCCTGCTTTCCAGGTCCTTTTCAATTCTCAAAGAGGCATTGCATAATTATTTGAATAACATTCAATTTAACATTATCTGTATTAATCTACAAGCAAATTCCAGTGGCTCTAATTATATTGATGGTCCCAGGCTCTAGCATGAATCCAGCTTGAAAGGGAATCCTGAGCATGCTAATTTACAGTGTTTAAAGGTACTAAGAAATCACACAAAAGAGAGGCTGGGACAATCTGTGAGCAGCGCTTGCATGTCCAGCCTGGTAGTGGCTGTGGTGACTGTATGGGTTGTCCTCATGGCAAAAGAGTACAGGAAAGTTCATCTGAAAAAATAGGGATCTCCCAACTCCTACCTCTTTTGTTTTGTTTTGTTTCTTTGAGGGGGAATTTTGGGGAGGTGAAGAAGAAAGAAGGAAAAAATGTATGGGCTTCTGATTTTGGCAATCTACCCTTAATTGTCATTTGCTAAAAGGTCAGGAGAAAGGTCAGAGATGGCCAGCTCTTTGTAAAGAGACAATACTATCAGCTGAGAGACATGTACACTTGGCTAGGCTCTGTAAGCAGGACTTGGAAAATTCTATTTAAAATATACATATATGTTTCTGCCAGTTTCCATGTATGGGATTATGAACATTGTGTCCACCTCTGGAAATAAGAAGGTGCTCCTTGGACCTCTGTGACCCATGGGGTGTGTTGGGGATCATTATGGTTAGGACCTCATTATTACACACATCTTCATACTGTGTAAACTCTCAGTTGCCAGATACTAAAATCACCACTATGAATGTAGGAGAACTGAGAGGTGGGACAATTTAGAAGAGTTTAACCTTCTCTCAAATGTTAATCTCTGGACTACTGAACATGGTGGTAATTTGTTTAGTAGCTGTGGCTTTACAAAGCTTCCTGGCCAGTTAAAAAAAAAAAGAAAGAGCCCAGGAGGAAGAGCTGAGGAGCAGGACTGCCCTTGGCAGGGTTAGCAACAAGGAGGACTGCCTTTTAAACTTCCAACTCCCTTTCTGGTCTCTTACCGATATTCTTTTTTTTTTAAGAAATAAGTTTCTTTCTCATTTTGTTCTCCTGTGCTCTGGTATTAGGAAGGGTATGGTCACCTCCCTCACTCAGTCAACTAAATCAGGACCCATGAATGCCTAGCACATGGGCCACTAGCACCACTCGTCATCCTGTACCCATGTGGACATCTCTAATCCATCACTCTATTCTCTCCTGTTGAGCCAAGGTATAGCCTCGTCACTCTTTGTAAGGGAGCACTCTTGACAGCCACTGGTGCTTTCAAAGTTGGCACAGAGGATAAAACAATTTTGCATCCCTGGCTGTGAGAGATCACTGACTGACACATTGTAAAGTGAGTTATTTTAGGGTCCTTTGCATTTTAGCAAAGGATACAAATGCATTAAGCCAGAAAAGTGAGCTCATTGTGGACTGACACGCAAGCCACTGGCACTTGTCAGTTAGGACTTATCACTAGGTCAAGAGAGATTAACAGGTTTGATGAGAGCTGCAAACTGTCTTTAGTTTTGGCAGCTACTTGTGAGAAACAAGCCTCTGGTAGTGGGAACATCGCTCAAACTTGGGAAGAATGGGAGTCCATTACCGAATTGTGCTGGGTAAGGCTGAATGAACATTGTTATCTGGAATAACTTCAAGACACTGTGTCCAAGTTAACTACAACCTCACCCCGTGGTCATTCCCACTAAATTGCCTCATTGATATTTACTGCTAGGGGAGCTGGGGCATCAGTAGTATTTCCAAAACTCCAAACACTAAGGGCAGCTGTTCAAAGGATTGTATCTGAAAGAAGTAGTCTTTAAGACTATTTTTTGATATTTTTCTCAGAAGCATTTCCAAGTTTTATTATAAATTGCTTTCATCTGAAGGATACACCAAAGACCTAGTATATTATAGCGGTTCTCTTATCCTAAGCCTTTTATTTTGGGGGAAAAATATAAAATCTCTAAAACTGTCATCCTCGAACTCTCCTGCAATCTATTTAATAGAATTAGACACTGTGAAACTATATATTTGGGTTTCTTTAGACAGCTTATATGTAACAGTAAATGGTATGTGTTTGGATATCAATAGGTCTGTTCCCAGGTCTATAGCTTACTTTACCCATGAAACAAGAAGTCTCCCAGAAATGTAAAGCTGTAGACATTATGTTGAGTATTGAGCCTCAAGAGTTTTGGGGATCACTCAAGAGAGGGAAACTATGGAGACCCAAAGACCAATAGAAAGAGCATGCACTCTGGGGATGGGTCAACCTGGAGTTGATTCCACCAGAATGAAGATTTCAGAAAAGTTATCTACTTTCATTGAGGATCAATTACTCACTCTTTAAAATGGCAATGGAAATAGCAAAACCTTATTATACTATGATGAGGATTGAATAAGGTATTGTATGTAATGTCTGATATAGAAACACTAGATTTTCTCCTAGATACTTTTTCTGAAACTCATGGGCAATAAATTAGTTTTTATGAATCTACTCATCTATATATCCACTTATTGATTTGTTCAATAAATAGCTATCAAATTCACACTCTAAAAAAAAAAAAAAATCAATACAGCATAGTCATACCTCTCCCCACCCAGAGTCTTTGGGGTTTGGTAGAGGAGGAATATTTTTATACAAATAACTAAAATACCAACATGGAGCCAATGCCACAAGAAAGGAGACATCAACAAGTTATTCCAGACTGCTTGACAAGGAAAATGTTGGTGTTTGCATTGTACTGGGAAAATTGGTAGTGTGTCAATAGTGAGCAATGAAAAAGTCATTCTAGATGAATGAGATATAAGGAGTAAATCATGGAAGCAGAAGTCTTCTTGAGAAAACAGAAGGGGTATGCTGATATAAGATTATTCTCTAAAAAATTCTCTCATATTCAACCCCTATAAAATCTTTTATATAATGAAGGGCTATGTTTTTTATACAAAAAGTTTGTTTTTTTTTTTAAGTGAAAGTCATGAACATACACACAGGACACAAAAAATGCTATCTTTCCTAATATATGTAGATAGGTATTTGGATACTAAGAAAAAACCGCTGAAACCGCAGCACAAACACATTCAAAGAAGTGTTATGTCTCAAACAACTTGGATGAAAATGAATATGGTAAACCTGAAACTGAATTTGATTGTGGGAAAAAGATTGAAGTGGTGATAAAGTGATGTGGTTGTTGGATAAAACTGTGTTGAGAATATAAAATTAGAGAAAATGACTATTTTATATCTATTAACATATTATATAACATTATTATGGGACTGTATAATTAAGTCCATTGATTAAAATATTAGCATAGAAAATTTACCATTTTTATCTAAATTTAAAAAGTTTATTTAAAAAGTCAATTTATTTTTTTTATTTGCATCAGTGAGAAAATGAAGACTTAATCATGTTTGGGTCTACACAACACACCAAACTGTCTAGGGAACACAGGATTAGTAGTAGGTACAGTTCAAAGAGTTGTTTGGGCTCCAGTTATAGAAGTCTTTAGTCAACATGACTTTAGTTTTGTTGTCAATAGGAAGCCACTGCTTGTGTGTGAGTGGGAGAAGGGCTGACCTTCAGCTGGAGTTCAGTTTCAGAAAGACTAATCTGGCTGTAGAATGCAAAATGGAGCATGTGTGACAAGTCCAAATATGGAGCTATTGTGCTACTTCCAAAAGGCCATTATTAAAAACAGGCATTGGGAATGATGAAAAAATAGACATGAGAAATAACGTGCATAAATACTTAAGTAACTGGACTCTGAAAAATAAAGGGAAATTCTATTGTTATTTTATATTTAAACATTTTTCTAGAAAATTATTTGTTACCAGAACTCAGAGATGTACTTAATTCCCAGAGCTAGAGTCATAAAGAAGGGACCTTAATATATATTTGTTACTGAAGAAATGAATTAAGGTTAACATGTTTTTAGTTTGGAGGGGAAGGAGAAAAGTAAAAAGGCAAAATTTATGTGCTATTACATGTTAATTTTTAGAATCTGGATTTGGGGATGTGGCTATTATCAGCTAGAATTCATCCAAACTTTTATAGACAAATAGACTATCTGATTATCTTACACTGTGTTGGCCCATTGACTGCTTTGAGAACAGTTTCCCATCTGCCAAACCTTAATGTCCTCTGTTGTGATTCAACATATTTTCTTTTCATTTTAACTTTTTCTGGTGGCAAATGCTTCTGTCACTCTGAACTTCATACAAAGCTTTCAACTTCATATTTGCTCATTAAGACTGGATCTAGACAATACTTGGCAAAGTTACAAATTCAGACATAAAAATTAGTCATATCATTTGATTATAGGGTGAATTGACTAGCTGAAGATGTTATTTTTCACTACAACAATGTGGGAATCTTAGTTGAATAGAAATTCAGTTTCTAGGGATTCATTTTCTTTCGCTATAGGTGTCAAAGAGAATTAGAGTCATCTTATTTTCTGCACTGACTTTCACTGACCACAAGCAAAGATTTAAAAACCTATGTAGCTTTGGAAGCAAAATTTGAGGCTAGATATACAAAGACCAGGTTAGAGTCAAGATTAAAAGGTGGGTTAGAATTCTCAAGACCTAGTCTATGAGACACATGATGAACATATATATCTTGATTAGAAGAAAAAAAGGTGAAGTAACACTCTAACCTCATAAAAAATTTTTTAAAAGATCTTTTGAAACTTCTGCTTAAAAAGTTAACAAAATGCTCTTAGCATACTTGAAAACGTCCAAAGGTACAGTTGACCCTTGAACAACACAGGTTTGAACTGCATAGGTCCACTTATATGTGGAATTTCTTTCGTCTTTGCCACATCTGGGGTAGTAAGACAAACTCCTCGTCTTCCTTTTCTTCCTCAGTCTACTCAATGTGAAGATGACAAAGAAGACCTTTATGATGATCTACTTGCACTTAATAAATAGTAAACATATTTTCTCTTCCTTACAATTTTCATAATGAAATTTTCTTTTATCTAGCTTATCTTATTTAAAGACTACAGTATATCATACATATAACATAAAAATGTGTGTTTATTTGACTATGTTTTTTATTGGCAAGGCTTCTGTTCAACAGTGGGCTGTTAATAATTATACTTTTTTACCACAGCAAAAATGCACTCATAAATTATACTCAGAATTATGCTGAAAAATTACACTCAAAGTTTCAACCTCATTTGGAGTTAGTGCTCATAATCTCCACATTGTTAAAGGGTCAACTACACTTACTTCTGTCTGGTTTAAGAGAGCTGCTTATCAACTAAAATATATTCATACAATAAATGAATTAATATTTTCTGAGAGTAATAAATTTTCAGGAACTAGTCACTTACAAAATGGGGTTACTGAAATTGACAGTCGGTTAAATTTTCTCTCATGGTGGGTCAACATAGATAAACACCTGGTACTACTATTTAAAATACACTAATAGGTTCTTTGAACCAATTGGTCAGTTTAACCCAACCAGTCAAGATTTAAGAACTAAAATTACCTAAAGTAGTTTTCTTTGCCTGGGCTACAGATTAAAATTACCTGGGAAGCTTTTAAACATCCAGATGACCTAGACATACCCAAAACTAATTAAATCAGAATCTCTTGGGGAGTGGGTCCCAAACATCAGTCCCTAGGCAATATCAATGTGTTGTCAAGGCTGAAAACTACTGATCTAAATTGGAATATTAAAATGGGAAATTCCTGACTAATTATTTGCCTTTTGTACCTTCTGATATTATCCAAAAACCAATTTTAAAATGTTATTTCAAATAGGAAGAATAAAGGTAATGATCCCCTGTTTCAACTATTCAGCCATTCTGCTGTTAGAGATTTTTTGTGGTCTCAAAGGTTCTGTTATACCGGCCAAAGATCCTGACATACGTTTTCTTTTAGTATATAGCATGCCATCCATAAAACTGTGGAATATAAGCATTTTACTAATTAGTACTTACCAAACAAGGTAGGAAGTAAATACTAGGAAAATCATGATGAGAAAACCGCCACCTGAAACGCCATAAACCCACATTTTTACTCGGCCATCTGTTTAAAATAGAGATAACATAACAAACTTAGCACACAGAAGTCTGTAGCATTTAAGAAACAGGGTAACATAGTATCTGACAATCCCAAACTGACCATTAGTTCTGGACTTGAAATGATTTCCTGTAGTTGAGCCAACTGTGCAATTGACTGCAGAATCTAGCATGCTCTATCTAGCACAGGGGTTCCCTATCTCCTGGCCATGGACTGATATAGGTGTGAGGAGCTGGGCTGCAAAGCAGAAGGTGAGCGGAAGGGACCAAGTGAAGCTTCCTCTATGTTTACAGTCACTCCCCATTACTCACATTACCGCCTGAGCTCCACCTCCTGTTTGGTCAGCAGGAGCATTCTCTTCTCATAGGAGCGTGAACCCTACTGTGAATTGCCCCTGCAAGGGATTTTGGCTGCATGATCCTATGAGACTCTAAAGCCTGATGATCTAAGGTAGGGCTGAGGTGTTGATGCTAGCACTGAGGAGTGGCTGCAAATATAGATTAACATTAGCAGTGAGGTTTGACTGCACAGATCATAATAAATCAATTGCTTGCAGACTCATATCAAAATAATAATTTTATAATTATTATTTTCTTATATATTACAAAGTAATAATAGAAATAAAGTGTACAATAAATGTAATGCACTTGAATTATCCCCAAACTATTCTCCCATCCTCTCCCCCAAGTCTGTGGAAAAATTGCCTTCCATGGAACTGGTCCCTGGTCTCATAAATTTTGGGGACCACTGTTCTAGCATACTCTGTAAATTGCCAGATACAATGAGGAATTGACAAGGTTCTCTCTTGGAACATCATAGGAATATGGGTTCCCTAATGAAAATTATGTCTGTGAAAAAAACAAACTTGAAATTATACTACCTGGTACCACTTTTCATGGACTTTTAGAGTTATAAACAATTTGCACTACAGTTTGATTTTTAAGTCCTCAAAAGCATTAGGTTGTAAATACCTGGAACCAAAACATTTATTTTGCTGAATGTTTTATTTTTCATATGAGACTTCTATAAGTCATAAACATAAGTGAGAATACTCATAGGTGATAATTATCAAATGGCAAAAGAAAAAAAAAACAGGTGAAAATGTAAAATATACGATGGTTAATCACATTTGTTTTACAATACCAAACACTGGCAATCATTATTTTATAAAATTGAATCAATCTGCAGGCTATTTTTGAATTTATTTTAAGGTGTTTGTAATCTTAAACATGTAATAAAAAATATCGCAGAACATTTGATAATATGAAAAGGAACAAAGAAAATTATAATCAAGAGACAACCTTGCATACAAAAAACAAACAAATAAAAACGAATATGTTCATTTTCAATGGTTCCGCTTCCAGAACGATATTGGGTGAACAAAAATCATATTACCAAACAAGTTAATTCAACCAATTACTGTAAAATTATGACCATGTATGTAAAACTACACATTATTTTGGATTTGATATCTACTAGAGTTAAAAATAAATTAACTAAATATTCTTATCTATTTTATGACTTTTACTCTATGTAAGATATAGTGTGAGTGTATGTATGTTTTTCTATATGTGATGGAGAAACAAGTTATTTCTGCCAATCTAATGTTTTTGCTCAATTTTATGTACTGACAAGGCAATGACTCAGTATCCCAAAGGAATTGTATTCCTTTCTGAAAGAAACACACACAGATTCATTATACTACAGGAATGTAAATAACTGCAGGTCCAAAACACACATTAGTATTTTATTCAAAAAGCTTCTGTGGGATGAAAAACAATAAAAATCCATTGTAAACAATACTTGTTTTGAATAAAATCACAATTACTTTCAATTATGTTACAGCTTCCTATCATAGTTTTTGCTTACAGGACACTTTCAAGCCTCAATCAGATTTTTGAATGAGGTTCTGTGTGCTAATGATATTTTTCTATGGTCATAAAACTTTAATCAAAGCTTTGATTCTAATCTATTTGAAACACTAATGATTAAATTTCCTATTTCAAGTTTTTACATAGGAAAAAAACCCCAGTTTTTCCTGAGTGAGAAAGCTCCTTATATTTTATGACCCGTTAAAACCTCATAGGGTTGATGCATTGGGATGATCCAGTGCTTTTAAATCCCCAGTGTAGAGGCATGTGATGGTCCATGACCTTTAAGCCATGTTACTTAAAAATAATTAATATATTGTTATAATGTTATAAAGGATAATGTAAAACTTCAAATTATTTAAAAAAGACACAGTGAGAAATAAGTCTTCCCACCACCATCTCAGTTCACTATTCAGGACCTTTCACTGTTACCAGATTCCTCAGGAATCTTTTGAGTTTTTCTTTGCACAGGCAAGCATCTGAACACCCGTAAATACAAATTCATACACGTTCTTAAAAGGACGCAAATGGTGCATATCATTTACTTTGATTTGTACTTTTTCTTTCACTAAGCAATATATGTTGGAAATATTTCTGTGCTAGTTCATAAAAGCAGGTCTACTTCTTAGTATTATTATGAGATACCATTCAACAGTGACTAGATTTTTGTTTTTCCAGTATTTGTGGCCATTTAGATTGTTCCCACTCATTTGCCTCAACAAGCAACCATGCAACAAATAATCGTCTACATACTTATTTTGGTATATGTGTGTATAACTGTATGATTCATTCCTAGGAGAAACATTTTAGATCAAAATGTATGAAAGAAGATATATCAGAATAGCCTCACTGTCTTCCTGAGAGGTTTCTCCAATTTATACTCTCACAATGAGAATCTATGAAAGTTGTAAACTCTCCCCCAGACTAAATATATATTTACACACACAGACACACACAAATATATACATGTACATGGCATTTTATATGAATATATGTGTGTATGTATGCAAACATTTGTGTATCTATACACACACACACATACATATACTCAAACACATGATATTTTTGATGCTTTAATTATATCCCAAAGTCCATCCATGAATTAAAGATTAAGGGCCTCACCTATAGATTTAAAGACTCATTTCTTTGGAACCTCACCTTAATTCTTTTTCTGAAACTGGTCCACAAGCAATGGGTTTAACTTGCCCACATTTCCTATCATGCTTCCCTCAAGTTTCAATATACTTCTAAGTTAGTCACAAAACGAATGAGATGTTTTTAAACACCTTTGGCATTCCCAGACACACAGGGGAATCAAAAGTTGAATCAGACATGGCAGGCCCCAGGTTCCCTTGGGCCTGAGATCTGAGTTTTGCTTCATTTAAACATGCCATCAAGGCACTTTGGGTACAGCCAAGGCCTAGGGGCTGGAAAAAAGTTCCCAGGGTACACCTGCCTGAGTCTTCTCTGTCTCTTCCCTTCCATGCCCCATAACTATGTTGCTTTGCTCAGTCATTCACAGCATCTTGCTTCCTAAAAGAGGTATGTATGCTAGACACAGAAACTCCTGCCTTCTTCTTCTATTTTACAAAGTGGGAAGCAGTGTCCAGTGGTGCATAAAGGCCTTGATGACCTGTCTTTAAAACTTTCCTCTGCCACTTGCTGGTGGTATGACCCTGGTAAAATGAGTCTGTACTGCCAGTTTCAGTTTCTTAATCTCTCAAACGGGATGAAAACATCCCTTTAGGTGGAAAGAGATAATGAGATGATTCATGCCACACAACCAGGCAGCACAGACCCACAAGATATACAAAAAGCATCTGAAAAATGCTCATTCCTGTCCTTGATAAGCACCAGTTATTGAGTCCTACAGACCTGACATTCTGTAATACCCATGACAATCCTGCGAGGCAGGTGCTACTAGATTGTTTTATAAATGAGGAAACTGGGCTACAGAAAAGTCAAGAGTCACAAAACAGGTATGTTCTAAGCCATAGGGCCAGTAAAGTCTGCCTGCCTTTGAAACTGATGCTCTTTACCATGTCACCAGCGCTTCTCAAACCAAATTGGGTCTCGGGACATTTCCTGAAAGTTTCTGAGATTCTATTTCATTTTTCTTTTAATTTTAATTATACATACACATTCAGTTATTAAAGCAGACTCTTTTACAACGATAATTTACAATTAAAAGATATTTTCAAAGAATAATAGATTGCTACTTACCTCAATATCTCTTACACATGGGTTGCCAGACTTATACCCAACAATCCATGAAAACATTTTACACTTACAGGGAACAATGCATCACACAATACTCAAATTTGATAAACCTTGAACTACACCATATTGCCTCTTTCTTCTCTTTTTCTCCTTCCCTTTATCTTTTTATCATAAGCAATGATAAAAATATGAAAAAAATTCATTATTTCTTACTCACTACTGAGACACACCTGGATCAAGTGGTTGAAGAGACCATCCTTTAAAAATATCATGTATTTTTGAATTCACAGGTCTGTTTTTCCCAGAAAGGTTTTTCACATCTGCTTTTTTATCCTCTGAGCCTGGGACTTTCATGCAGTAATCCAGGAAACCATTTGATCTCATTATTTCTGTATAGCCCTTCTCACAACCACAGACTCCACCCTACAGCACAAAGAATATTTTTATGGTTACACAGTGAGTTGTACAGATGAATAAAGAACAATCTAAATGTTAAAATCACTTCGTATTTACACTATATGTCATGACAATTTTGCGTTTTGAGGAACGGACTTACCAATGAGATGAAAATCAAATACATAGTTCATCTTTTTGAATTCCAAAATCAGCCCTTAAATACATGGTCAGGTTTTTCGAATGTGTTTACAATTCTGACACTTCCCAAATGGGAAGTCACAGTTCTTTGTGAATAGAGTGCAGTAACTATGTCTTTTCCTTTCTTATAGAGATGTTTATGGTATTTAATCAAATTATCTGTGTTTCTTTTTCCCAGTTTTTCAGATCCTTGCACTCCAACATGCCCTTCCTACTGAGAAGCAAAGCAACAAGGATTTTGTATATACCTTCTCTGTGGTATGTGTTTTTTGAGGTCTGTCACTACCCCAGGTGCTCAATGCCTCCTTCACTTTCTACCATTGATCACTACCTAGCCCAAATTAGTTAACTGCTCGCAGGTTTACTTCTGCACTCAAGGAAGGCACCTCAAGAGGGGGAGGAAGCCTTCACCAAAGGCATGTGCCCAAGAGAAGGATGTGTTTATCTATCTAAATTACTCCTTCCTTGTAGTAACCCAAATGTCACACCACATCACATCCCTAACTGGCATTGTGACAATGCCTTTATATTTATCTGTGAATACCTGGTCATTTTTATCTAGAATGAATGTCGCCAAGAAGCTGACTATGCTGAGGCATGATAGATAAGGATTTTTATCTGTCTCTGGAAGTGAACCTGAAAATTATTGCTCTTCTTCCAGCAAACATACAGACAATAGAGAAGAATAGAAAAGAATAAACATAAGATTATAAATTTCTGTGTCTTTACTATTATGACTTTGGCTAAAGCAAATTATCTAGCATTTTCTGAAGGAAACTTAGACTCACATAGCCTCTTGTGCCAACCCTCATCAACCGACCAGCTTTACTTAGGTCATCAATTGTTGACTGAACACATGATTTTGAGTAGCAACAGATAACAAAAGTAACAAGGCACCTCAATCTTCAACACGGGGAAAAGATCACAAAAGTATATATCATAATTAACTACCTATAGTTTAGTACCAGTTATGGTCATATAATAATTACAAATAGGCCGGGCTCGGTGGTTCAGCCTGTAATCCCAGCACTTTGGGAGGCCGAGGCAAATGGGTTGCCTGAGTCTGCGGGTTCTGGACCAGCCCGGGCAACTTGGTGAGACCTCGTCTCTACAATAAATCAAAAATTAGCCGGGCGTGGTGGTGCGTGCCTTGTAGTTCCGGCTACTTGGAAGGCTGAGGCAGAAGGATCACCGGAGCCCAGCAGGTCGAGGCTGCAGTGGCCAGGAGTGTGCCACGCATTCCAGTCTGGGCGACAGAGTGAGACTTCAATTCAAAAAAAAAAAAAATGACATATAAATATGGCATTTTTGTTTGGCTTTAATTGGAGTATCACAGAGTATTCAATTGAGAGATCTAGTTAAGAAAATTTGTATATGCTCAGCTATCAAAACTGATAGCCTGTATCGTTACACTTGTATCGTTAGCCTGAGAGAAAAGTTGGAACCAGCCAGTCATATATTCCAAGGGGTCAAGGAAAAAAATGTATGCTTAATAAAGAGGGCATCCATAGAGCTGGTGGAAAGCTACAACTTCTACCTGAAAACATTATTAGATCAAGTAAAGTTCTGATGTTTTCCTCCTCTTTTCCTCATATGCCCCTCTAGAAGCTTAACCACTCTCTTTCATGGTAAGGAATTAACCTACCTTCAAGTGGAATAACAAAAAAATAGGTTGAGTGCTTGAATTTTTTTTAATCAAGTCATTTTGCAATGAGCACAATATAAGAAGAAACTCGTTTCTTTAAGAAAGACGGCATAACTTAAAAAAATTATATATGCACTGCACACTATGAATGCTATTGGTTAGAATGCATTATACATTTTGCATTAATTCCTGAACTGTGGTAGATGGGAGCTATAGGAGAAGATGGGGGAGTACGATTTATGCATAAAAAATACATATACACTTTTTTTCAGTCATAGTCACATATTCAGCTGAATTAAAATGAATTAAAAATTTATCATGGTGTGATAAATTTTACATAACGTGAGGCAACATGAACAGCATTTATAACATCTTTCAAACTAGGTTAGGTATATGAAAGGTTAAGAAAAGACATAAATCAACTGAGAACACTTATTGGTAAATAGAGCTAATATAAATTAGGTCTCTGAAAGACAGGTTTGGCTAAAGACAGATTTATAGAAAAAAGACTACTTTCCTTAATACATGGTCCTGCCCAGATATTCTTAATAGCTGTGATTACTCCTGCAAATGCCTCTAGATGGTATCATGGGTACGTGGAACTGCTGCCTGGGCTGCAGCAGACAAACATCTGACTACATATGTAAAATACAGCAATTAGGGCTCTAGCACATGACTCACCTGTGTACAGTAGGAGAAAGGTTTTCTGCAGGCTGGAATGCACTGCCGAACGGCAGCAGGACGGGCCTGAGGGGAGCAGCCTCCTGCAAAGAAAATCCCACCATCGTTTGCAGATTTCTCTGTGGTAAACATTCATAATTTTTTGGTATTTTTCCCCCCTGTGGCACTGGCCTTTTTGTAACAGCATTATTATTATTTTTTAATTCATTTGCCATTACTGATTCCAGTCCTGTTTTATTGATTACTCCATGATGTTTTGGTTCAAACGGGAGGCTGGCTGTTTACAGTGAAAATTTTTTACCTGCTCATTGGTCACATGATTCAATCACATGGCTATGCCTGAGTGCAAAGTCTATGAGAGCCAGGATCAGTAGAGAATTAGTCAAATCTCAGTTTAAGCTCAGGAGTGGAACACATTTGTTCCAAAACTATGTATACATTGCTCCAGCTTTTGAGCACTCCAGCTGGGCACTAGGCTGATTCCAACAACCCAATAAATGCTAAAAGAATGCCACTAATCAATTCATGGGACTATGGTATCAAATACTTTGGTGGCATTTTAAATTGTATATCAACCAGAATACATATACACAGAGTCACATACAGGACCCCACACATATTTTAAGAGAAATATATAAGCTTTATGAGGGACAACCAAACCTCTGACACAGTACTTGTAGCTGCTCAGTAAATATTTTTGGGTAAATAGATGAAATAATGCAAGTATCTATCATTAGAAAATCACCTACATAGTAGTTGTGCCTTGCTGAATTAGACACAGTAAAAGAGACATGGGAAAAAGCCTAGAGACAATTTGTCTAAGAAGTTAACTTATCATTCAAGAGAACTAGTTAAATAGCATTTATATAGTATTTGTAGCATTTATAGGTTCTAAGCTTTGGATAACTTTAACTGTCAACCAATTATATTTTATCACTTTGTAGCTAGCAAAAAGTCTTGGCCTTAAGACAGAACAGGGAACAGTCAACCTGTATTTTATTTGGGAATGAAGCAGCTAAATTCTGTGTTACATGAAAACATAACACAAATAATCCACACAAAAATTTAAAAAACGAAAACAGGAAAACTCACAATTCAGAATTAGCACCTAGGTGCGAAATTGATAATTTGGGTGTTAGTGGCAGTAACCACACAGCCCTGTTGCTTCCAATTATGCTGGGGGGAGGAGTTCCATTATTTAAACCAGTGATCTCTAAATTAGATACCTCAGGGGAAGGAGAGGTCTTGGGAATTGGAAAGAAAATATTGGAATTTATGAAGGTTATATAACATGTTTTTGTAATTTAATAATTGAATTGCGCTCTAATGATACTTATCAGATGATACTGGTGACGTGAACTTATTTGGTTGATAGCCATATGTTACACATTGTGCAGGAGGAACTCCATGCAGATAATTGACAGCAAAAGCCCTGCCAGTATGTGATCTCTCAGGATACTGCAGAATATGATGCTTTCTGGGTTTCTGGCTAGGCAGACTACCGCATATTAGTCTATCAACAACTTACAAAATGAAAAAGTAACTGAAAATAAATTATTGTATGGATTAAAAGGAGTATCAACAATGCAAGAGCAGGTAAACAAGAAAAAGGAGGAGCTGGCAATTCCTCTATTCCTACGGACACTTTTCCTAGCCCTTGAATAGGCTCTTACTAAGTAAAAATACGACAATTTAATTTGCTCTCGACAAGGAAGCATTTTTAAAAACTTAAAAAGCTATTCAAAAGACAACTTGTACAATTCAAATGGTACCCATTATCATGAATATGGAGCCCTTCCCTCAATCTATATTTAGATATTAAATAATAATCATGATTAGCAAAATATTCAAAACCCAAGCTTTCAGTGCACGAATACAAGCATCCATAAATCACAGCATAAAAGTATTTCTGCACCATTAGAAATGTTTTTAACACATAGAATATTTTAATTTTTACTTTTATCTTTATTAATGATCCTTTTAATTTCAATTTATGAGTATGTTGTATAACATATCAGTATAGTAGTTTATAAATACATGCTAAGGTATGTCCTCAAAAACTTTTTACTGAGAAGGTACGTGATTTAAAATTGTATTAGTGTCAGTCTTTTTCAGTCTTTGTCTCAGATCATGATATTTTAGAACATTTTAATGTGTTTCAGCTTATATTAAATTGTCTAATATCTTGTAAGTCTTCAGTTAGAATTGTTTGCTTTCTAAGATGCAAAGGTCTAATGAAAATTTGTCATGAAGAACATCTAAACCACCTTCCTGTCATTCTTTGCTTATAATTTGTAAGCTAATTCTTCTCACAAACAGCAACACTCAGAGATCTTTTTGAAGTGCCCATATGAGTCTTAGGCAAGAATACCTGTGACATTAATGCCATCTGAACGTTGGCACCATACAGTTCGTTCATTATTGTTCCAAAGACTTGCTTTCCATGTGTAGTGATAACATTTGCCTCCTGTAAGTAAATATGATAACAGCATTCTATTATACCTCACTTAAAGATAGAATAAGCATTGATCAATTAAGGCTGAAGAATTGAAAAGTGCTCTTGGTACCTGTACAGGGGCGTGTTTCAAGAACCTGTTGGGGGCAGCTGTCTTGGTTCTCAAAAGACTGAATTATAAAAGTCCTTGACCTAGATTGGCGGCCCATACTCTCGAAACTTCTTCCATCGATGCAGGTTAATTCACACGTGCTCCACTCTGACCATTCCGTCAAATGGCAGTCTCCTAGACAATCATGCAGTACAGGACAGGGGAAACATGAAAACTGGCACTTGATATTTACGCGACCGGGGCTCATACAGACATTTGCAGTAATGTGGGCAAGTTCTAGATACTACACATTTTATTTTGGCCAATTTTCGAATCACAAAGTGCTAAGAGTGATGAAGTAATTTATAGTTTAATCTAGTTTAATAAGAGAGTGACAAAGACTAGATTGTTAATACCTGTGTCTACTAGTGATAATAAAATTTTTAAAAGAGAGATGTAAACATTATAATAACTCAGTTTTCAAAGATCAGCATAACATTGTAAAATGGATGTTCACAGAAATCATATTAAAGAGAATAAGTAGGCCACTGAAATAAAATATCTTTGGATTAAATATCATATTTAATTTTTATAACATATTTAATTTTAATTGTAATATTTAATTTAAAACTGGCCATTTCTCTATATAATTTATATATATTTATTTTTCTATATATAAGATATATTTATGGATATAATCTGTGTGCATATATTATATATAATATGTATTTGTATACACACAGCATATGTATGACATGTAAATACATATAAGTATGCTTCGCACTGTATTATAAGGATAACTTAAGTCATCTTAAACTTATGTCACACAAACTAAGTTCTGTTACTAGGATTAAAATAAATTCATATATTTTATGTAACTAGTAATAATCTTCACATTTACATAGCACTTGGCTATTTACAGAGTGCTTTCACAAACTCACAGCTTTCCTGATACCCACCAAGCCATCATCTAGGATTCATTTATTCACAGATTCAGGCAACATTTTTTAAGAGCTGGCCAGTGTGCTAAATATTGTCTAGTTAGGTATCATCACCATAGTTTTTAGATGAAGAAAAAATTGCTCAAAGAAGCCAGACCATATGCTCCAGGTAAAACACCAGTGAAGTGATAGAGACAAGATTCTGACTTAGCCTTTACTTCAAAATCCCATGTATTTTTTTACTTTGGCCACGTTAGATCCATCAAAAGAGTAGTATACTCCAAAGTGATAATTATATTTAAAAATGAATGAATTAAAAACACCAATTTTGATGAGCTAGAATACTCCAGAGAAAAAAAGAAAGTAATAGAGGAAAATAAACAAAAATATAATCATGAAGGGCACTCCGTGTCTCTAGAATTACATACCTGGACAAGGCACAGAACACAGTTGCTTCAGGATGCTGTTCTGAAAGGGTGTTTCTCCACAGAGTACATCGTCCACACGTACAGCTGCGTGAGATAGTGAACCATTGTGGACCACACAGGAAAGGCTGCGGACCTGGATTCCTTCCCCACAGTCTCCACCCTGGGAGATGAGGAGATGCTTTTAGAATTACCCAAATGATTAGCATCTTCAAAGTTTTGGTTCCTGCCACCACTTGCCTAAGAAGACCACAGTCACATATTTCGACAGCTTCCTCCTCTTAGGAACTCTCTCTCAGTTGATGACAATGAAGCATCACTGAGCAACACTTTTAGAGTTGATAGAAGTAGAAATGTGCCATGGAAATTATGTACCCAGAATATGACAATTCATTTTGAAAGTCAGCCAGGATAGACTAGAAAGAAAACAATACATAATTTGTCTAAGTGTATGTAGATAAAATAACCTAGTCTATAATCATTCCCCATGGAAACATGTAAAGCCACAGGGCATAAATTTCTCGTTATTTTGCTTGTGTTTTTTTTTTTTTTTTTTACAGAGTTCAGTATATTCTCATATGGATTAGGATGGGGTTTCCAGGAAAACACTGTTTTTCTCTATTACCACAAAAAGTTGTTTTCCCAGCATGCCTTCTGTGCTGAATAATGTTCCTTAAAGATAATTCATATCACTCTCACAAAGACACTCTAGGCAAGTAGAAAAATTTTGTCTTACAGAAACAGAAGCTTAGAATGGGAAAGGTCTGAGTGGTTATCTGGCCCAACCATCTGTCTGATAAAAGATTTTCTACTATAAAATTTTTGACTATTATCAAAAAGACAGAGAACAATAAATGCTGGTGAGAATATAGAGAAGCAGTAGTTCTCATACAAAATTGGTGAAAATGCAAATTAGAACAGCTAATATTAAAAAATGAATGGAGATGCCACAAAATAATTAAAAATAGAACTACCATATGATCCAGTAATTCTACTATTGACACACACACACACACACACACACACACACACATACACACACATACATATATTCGGGGGTGCCAAAAAATGTATACACATTTTAAGTATGACGTTTGCAAATGTGTATACTTTTGTGGCACCTTCAAATATTTTATATATATACATATCTCCAAAAGAAAGGAAATCAATACAAGGGGGGATTCAAAAACCCAGAATTATTTTTTGGAGTGTAGGCCCCTTGTGGTAAAGGTCTCCTCTCCCAGGTGAGTTCTAGGAGCCCATCAGTGCACTAGCTAGTGTTGTGGTGAAAGACTGTGTTTGGCTTCGGTGAATTTTTTTTTTTTTCTTTTGGTTGAGATTCTTTAAACACATTTGCCCCATTTCATAATGAGTGATTTGCACAGACAATCTGCCCACACCTTGCTGAGTGTTCAGCAGTTTTTGAACAAAAATGACATGACTCCCATGCCCCACCTTTCCTATTCACCTGATCTCACCCCAAGCGACTTTTTTTTGTTGCCCTGAATGAAAAACATCCTCAAAGGTAAACGTTTTGCTGATTTCAAAGAGGTGAAACAAAAAATAACAGAAGCTAAAGGGCATCAAAATTGATGAGTTCAAATCTGTTTTGAGCAGAGGAAAGAGTGACTTGATAGGTGTATTTTGTCAAATGGAGAGTACCTAGAAGGTGACTGAAGTTTAAATATGTAAGAATAAATATATAATTTTTTAATAAATAAGTTCTGTGTTTTTGGGTCCTCCTCATATATTAAAGAAATATCTGCACTCCCATGTTTACTGCAGCACTATTCACAATAATAAAAATATGGAATCAACCTAAATGACCATCAATAAATAAATGAACACAGAAACTATGGGACGGACGGACGGACACACACACACACACACACACACACACACACACAATGGAATACTATTCAGTCATAAAAAAGAACAAACTTCTGTAATTTGCAGCAAAATGGATGGAACTGGAGGTCATTACATTAAGTTTAAAAAAAGTCAAGCACAGAAAAATATCATTACAAAAGGAGCTATAAAAGTAGATCTCATAAAGGTAAAAAGTAGAGTAGTGATCACTAGAGGCTGTGAAAAGTAGAGGTGATGAGGGTGTGAAGAGAGGTTGATTAATGGGTACAAATATAAATTGGAATAAGCAAAATAAAACCTAGTTTTGACAAATCAGTAAGCTTTAGCTTGAGCTATAGTTTACAATAATCTATTTTACATCTCAAAATAGTAACAAGAGAATAATTTGAATAATTCCAGCATAAAGACAATTATTTAAGGTAATGGAATCTCAATTTACAAATTATGTGAATGTATTAACTTATCAATGTACCCCAAACGTATATACATCTATTATGCATCAAGAAAATATAATCATAAAAATGAAATAAATAGATTTAATAAAGAAAACTTTTGACAGATACACATGAGGTTAGTATGTTCTCTTCAGTTTCAGTCAGGTGCTCATACTTCAAAAGGAAGTCAACTGGATATTTGAATAACTTCAGTTGATAGTTTTCACATGGATATTCTACAAAATAGAGCCCAAGGTAAAGTTTTTAAGAAGCAAATCCCAGGATGGCAAGAGTGAGGGTAAAAGAAAACTGATACAGGAAAGGAGGGGAAACTAACATGAGGCAAGGTGTTACTAAGCTGGCCTCAACTTCACAAACAAGCATGGGTGGTTTCTTGGTTACCCACATCTTCCAGACAGCTCACGGGGTATCACCATGCTTCAGTACCATCCATGACGGACAGGGAGGAGAGGGAAGGTGGGAAAGGCATTTAAACGCTTACAACTCCTTGGATTCCGTTCTCATTGGTCAATGTTCAGTTTAGGGAGTAAATTCCCTATGTACTTCCAGGTTTTGTTACTCAGCTTCTAACAAAGTCCAGAGGTTGGTGGAAGAACTAGAGTGACTACTGCTGCTGCTGTGGTGCCAAGAGAGAGTAAGTGCAAGAGCAAGAGCAAGTGCAAGAAATATCCTAGTAGTGGCTCAGGCCGGCACAATTCCCAGCCTTTGTTCTAACATGCTCCCACCCACCATAAGGTGACAGTCTGACAACTGGGCACTGAGAAACTGAGTCTCCTCTCCTTCCTACCCCTTCCCCGACTGCAGGACACAGAAACTGCATTGCCTAGACCTTGGAACAGTGGTGGCAAGCGCAGGGGCAAGAGTCAAGAAGGACAATGTGGTCAGTGAAAGCAGTCATGTGAGTGTTTCAGGGCATGGAGCAGGCGATCCACGAGCTGATGGGTCATTTGAGCACCAACCAGGCCAAAACATAGTGACAGCAGTTGTTGGGTGTCAAGAAAAGGTCAGCGAAAGGTTGCTGGAGAGGACAGGATGCTAAAGTGGCTGCTGAGAAAGATTCTTAACATAAGGAAGCTGTGACTCAAAAATATACGGGGGGGAAGTGCAACTTGGGGAAGTTCAAGCTGTAATAACTTAAAGCCTAAAGAATCTGTGGAGGCACATAAATTGGGGATCTTGTGCTTTCTTTTAATTATGTTTCTTCTTTTTGGAATATAATTTTATATGTGATTTGTTTGTATAAGGTGGTATGTTAGTCTGTTTAGGCTGCTATAAAAAATACCTTTGACTGGGTAATAGAAATGTATTGCTCATAGTTCTGGAGGCTATAAAGTCCAAGGTCAAGGCACCAGCAGATTCGGTGTCTGATGGCTGCCAGTTCTTTATATATGGAGGCTACTAGGTGTCTCAAATGGTGGAATGGGAGAACAGGCTCCCTTGAACCTCTTATATAAGTGTATTAATCCCATTCATGAGGGTGGATTCTTTATATCTAATCATCTTCCAGTGGCTCCACTTCTTAAATCTACCACATTAGTGGTTAATTTTCAACATAGGGAGGGTGGGGGGACATCAATATTCGGACTATAGCAGATGGTTAGTCCCACACTTGTGTAATCAATATTTCATAGAGCTCTAATAATTTCTATGACTGCTGTGAAACTGTGTTAAAAAAGCACCATAATTTTAAGCCTAAATGAATTTTTTGGAAGTTCAAAATCCATTCACAGTAGATTCATTCTAGGCAAATGTTCTAGTAAATGCTTATTCCCTAGAGTGGAAAATAACAGTTGTAAATAAATTTTGGGGAGGGGAAAAATGTTCACTCATAACTAATTTTTCCAGATGATAGACTCATTGCAGAATTGTCTAGGTACATGTTTTGCTATGGAATATCAGATTTTGTATATACTTGGAAAGAATAGTCTAAAGATACTGCAATATGAATGGAATTTGAAAGTATATCAGTATATCTGGTCCCTCAGGTGACAGAAGTGTAATTGATTAGAGTTGTGCTAATCACACACAGTTGTGTGTGTGTTTTGATATTCTATGAGACTGAGCATGAAGAAATGACAGAAAACAGCCTAAACTAGGAATCCCTTTAAACACCAAGGCAAACAACCATATGCTCCTAGTATGTACCTGGTAACCAGTCCATATTCAACCTTGATCTTTTATACCTTTGACAACAAAAGTCACAATATGAAGAGAAATTAGCATCAGAGTAATTTCATTCAAAAAGGAAGCATTCACATAACTCACATTCAAGAAGACTTTATACACCAGTCCTTGAAAATAGATCCGGCCTTCTTAGAGCAAGAAGCACTAACAGCAAGGATTCTTCCACTAACTCTCCACTGTCCAGATCACTGGAGGTTTTGTATACACTAAATTCACATCTCTTCCAAACATGGATAGGCAGATAGTACTTATAATCATAGTTTTAATAAAAATTACAATAGCAACTGTAATTTATTGAGCTCCTAAATTATGTCAATTACTATGCTAAATACTTTACCTAACTTCTCTAATTTGTATCCCAAATCCAACAAAATAGGTACTACAGCTACTTTCATGATATAAATAAGAGAACAGATGTTTAGAGAGTTTAGAGACTTAGCCAAAAATGCAGAGCTAGAAATTGGCACAACTTTGACCAAAATTCAGGTTGCTAGACTCCAGAGTCTGCGATCATCAAGATTTATCAGCATACATATGTATATGTGTGAGCAGCTGAGGAACTTGGGAAGAGTTAGGAAATGCTAAAAAGAAAGTGATGCCTGAAGATAAATACTTCCTTCCCACATAAGATAGTGACAGAATTGGCACATCCACTATGCTCCTTGCAAACTTCTCGTTATGGTTGCTGCTTTGTGAAGGCATGCAGCCACCTACGTATCATCACCACCCTCGGTGAATGAGTTCACAATCTACACTTGGCAGGTCAGGACATGCTAGAACAAGGGGAAGCACAGATGCAGCTGTAGAGAGATACTCTTCCATTGTGTGCAAAGACCCACATGTACGTTGATCAGAAATTCCAGAAACTCAATTATGTATAAATTTAAGAACAGACTCTTTATTTAAAAGATATGGTATTATCTATCTCACAAAGAGTTGACAATTAGGCTGCAGGAAAAGTAGGAATGCAGTTAGAAGTCAGGAAAATGTCAACTTAGATATCGCCATGCTTTCCTTTCTCTTTTGCCTCTGCTTTTTTGGTTGTGTGTCATTTTCTTTGTCCTTTCTTACTTCTGAGTGACTGACTTTATCCATAAGTTGAACAATATGTGGTAGCTAAAACTTTCTAATTACAATATCTTGGAACAAGTTCAATTCCTTTAAAGTATTGAGGAAGAATGCTGATTGGCACTGTTTGGATAACTGCCCATCCACCTCAGAATAAACTATATACTTGTTTATTGAGGGTTTTGAATGGATTAAGTCTAACTCCAGTATCAGTGAGTGGGACCTACCCACATCTAAACTTCTGAGGTAGCTCTAAAGTTTCCAATCACCTGCTCTGGTGGGTCTCCACGGCCTCCAAAACTGGGTATCTCCAGTAGATGTCACAACCCTCCACACATCTCCGGCACCACTATGGGAGAATGTCCACTATCCACTGCTCTTGTCCCCATGGTTCTTACAAAAGCTCAAATTTTGACAGTAAGACATTATATGTGGCATTTTCCTATCATGTGCCTATGGCAGACTTTTTTTTTTTAATTAGGCTCCTGACATCTGAGAAGATTAAAAAAGAAGAAAAATTGCAAGTAAGGTACAGCAGTGGTTGTATGCCTGTATGCCTGGTAAGACTTGGTACGTAGACATTGTTCATCTTCTGTCCCTTCTTCTTCCCTCCCTTTGACGTTTTTCTCTTCTTCCTAACTTTCAGCTTTTCTCTCCCCAACTCTGGGATGTCTTCCTGAATTCTTGGAACTTACTCCCTCTACTCTGTCAAAGTAATTACAATGACAAGGAAAAATATTTCTTCTGTTTTAGTAATTGTAAGTGATTCCAAGCAGCATTTCAAAATTGCTTAGCCGGGTTCGGTGGCTCAGCCTGTAATCCCGTGTCTTTGGGAGGCTGAGGTGAGTGGATTGCCTGAGCCCGTGGGTTTGAGACCCGCCTGGGCAGCGAGACCTCAACTCTACAATAAATCAAAAAATCAGCCAGGCGTGGTAGCGCATGCCTGTAATTCCGGCTACTCGGAAGGTTGAGTCCATTGCACTCAAGTCTGGGTGACTGAGTGAGACTTCAACTCAAAAAAAAAAAAAAATTGCTGAATACTTAGCAAAGAAGATCTTAGACTAGTAGACAAAGTATTAACATTTAAAGCTATTAAGTTACTTCTAAACTAGTTAATTAGCATGGCTACTTTATTTTCTGTAAAAATGAGACTGAAAAAATGTACCAGGCATTTTTGTTCCTCTGAGACCTATTAAAATATATAGGCATTTAACTTCTGCAAGATAATAATGCTGCCTGACAGTGTCATCCTGATATGAACACTATACATCTCTATGAGAATACTCTGCAGATTTCTTAATGCATAATCAAAATTATTGTTACCTAATTAAAATATGCTTTGGAACATGAACTGAAGGATACACTATAAGATAAGAACATAGTGAAAAAATCAATGTATTTTTTTTCTTTAGCAAAAAGCCAGAGAGAAAATGCAGTTGAGGATCTTTGCTGATCCTGCAAAAGCTCTTGGTACGTGATATATTATGATGTTGCTAGGCATTTATATTTCAGGCCAATAAAAAAGTAATCATTGAGGAAAATGTAGTAACCTTGGTTCTTGTAATAATGTTAAAATATAACTTTCATACACTTTTGGTTTTCTGCCCGTATGCAAGATTTTGTCTAAGCTTAAAAGTGCCTCTTTAAGAAATATAAGCTGTGCATTTTTACAGCATCAGGGTTTTGTCTAATTAAATACTTTGATATTCTCAACAAGCCAAGAAAATAAAAGAGGATTCTTGATAATGCCAAAGAGATTGAAAGACCCATGACCCATCCTATTATAATCAGTGCTTAATAAATGGCTATTTATTTTCCTAGCAATATCACTCTGCATGAGGTTAAGTCACTTGGTTGTATTTTTTCCAGTGCGTTAAAAATACATTGTGGCAGACTCCTGGAGCTGTGAAATTTATTCCATCAATGCATAGGTTTGAACGGACAATAGCTCTGGACATACTGAGAAGCATTTCTCTAAGTGTCATTACGTGACCTACCTCCAATTTACATGCAGACCAGTTGCCAAGGACCCAGCTGTAGCAGGGGGTCACTGGGCAGGTTTTCTGCTGGGTAAGCTCTGTGGGACATGGCCGTCCTTCTCCTTGGGTTGGCATAATGATAAATCGAGTCCGGCTCATTTGACCTAAAATGATAAGGGAGGTGTTAGCTTTTCAGTTAGTTTGGCTGGGAAAGGAAACTGAAGAACAGAATGTTGCCATATGCATGTAAGTCTTCATTATAATACACTGAACTCTGTCCTGTCTCATGTTTATCTTTTCTGCCATTTTAATTTAGAGTTCTACAGAGACACAGTCTATCCAGTTTTTCATAATGCTTAAAAGATCTAAAATTTTGTCTTCTACTTCTTGATCTTTGAAGTACAAACTTTCTGTTGTTGCCAAATAGATTGGTCCTATAAACATTAGTAGAATGTTAATTTATTTAACAAATATTTATTTATTAAACTCTAATATGGTCAAGGTATCCTGGTATATACTACAGACAGTGATAAAATTTCCAGACGTATCTTCTAACTTTAAAGATCTTATATTTGGGGCAAGGATTAAAATATTAAACAAAAATAGTGAGCATTACATCTTTGTTTATCAGGTTACAAATTAGCAAGAAAAGCAAAAATCACACATACTCCAAAGTACCCTTTAAAAACTCTCTAAGCAGATGCTACTCTGAGGTTCTGTGTCTTCCAATTAATTAAACACAGTCAATTTTTAAAAAGATTTTGAACTAATGTTTTTCTTCACTGAAGACAAGATAAAGTTGTTGGCTAGTATGAAGGAACCATGATGTTTTTAAAAAAAATGTTCAAATACTAGCATTCCATTCCACAATGAAAAACAATTGGCTCATAACAATAGGCTAAGGAAAGAGCAGGTTCTCCCGTGTCATTTTGCACCCACTCCTGGGCATTAGGTCACAAACCCATCAAGCGAAATAGTAGATAGAATAACCTATACTATTTAAATGTTTGTGCTAAACATATGTGTGCAGGTATCTTTTTTATAGAGTGATTTGAGTTCTTCAGGGTATATTCCCAGTAGGGGGATTGTGGGGTCATATGGAAGGTTGATTTGTAGAGCTTTTAGGAATTGCCACACTGATTTCCACAGAGGCTGTACTAGTTTACACTCTCACCAACAGTGTAGAAGTGTTCCCTTTTTTCCACATCCTCTCTAGCATCTGCCATTTTTTGAGTTATTGATAATGGCCATTCTGACTGGAGTTAGGTGGTATCTCAGTGTAGTTTTAATTTGCATCTCTTTGATGACTAGTGAGGTTGAACATTTCTTCATGTATCTGTTGGTTGCTTGTATGACTTCTTATCGCAGCATTGTTCACTATAGCAAGATCATGGAACCAACCATGCTGTCCATCAAAAGAGGACTTGATTTTAAAAATGTGGTGCATATGCACAATGGATTATTACACAGCCATTAAAAAGAACAAAATCATGAATTTTGCAGCAACCTGGATGGAATTAGAGTTTATAATACTGAGTGATCTTTCACAGAAACAAAGATCTGAGTACCACATGTTCTCACTCATAAGTGGGCCTTGAACAACTACCGTAATACGATAAGAAAAGAATTGACAGTGGTGGGAAAGTATGGGGGGGGCAGGAAGGGGAAGGGAGGTGGGATTAACGGTAGTCAATATCTCTCTGGGGAAAGGGGGGGCATACCTCATCAACAAGGGTACCTGCACAATGAATATTTGTATACCTAACCCTTAACTTTACCCCACAATTTTAAAATAAAAAAATAAAAAATAATGTTTGTGTTTCTACCTAACTTCTCTCACTTTCTTGCTCTTTCACTCTTGCTCTCATGCTCTTTCCCATTCACTCTTGTCCTTATTCTTCTTTTACTGATTAGGTACTAAGGAGCATATAATTTACTTACTACTAATTACTTGTGGATATGATGGCCTTCCCTTTAAAAAAAATTATCATGTGATTGTATTTGTGACAGATGTTAAAGGAAAAGCAGAAGTTTCTATGGGAGCATGTAAAAGGGACAGTCCATTCTGAGGCACGAGAGGTCATTGCTCTAAGCAGTTAAAATGTAAACATCAGTCTGGAACGATATAAGTCAGACATGATGTACAGAGAGAGTGCACTACACAGAGGAAGGAACATGTGAAAAGATTGTGCGATACAAAGGAGCATATTATGTCTAAGGACCTGACAGAAGCCAATGTGGCTGAAACACAGAGAGTGAAGGGGAGAAGAGCTGAAGACAATGTGGTTAAAGCTATTAAAAACAGTCTTTTAGTTGATGTGAAAGATTCTACATTTATGTAGACATGGAAGGCTAGTAATATTTTCACTTCTACATAGAATTCACTAGAAAGCCTTGGAAAGGAATAATTATCAGATGACCTCAAGATCAGTGATGAGTAAGGGTAATTCACACTTTCAGAGGACTAGACCACTTACTGTTCACCAAGTATTATCATAGGTATGGTGGTAAACTAATACTCTCAGATAAAACTCTTGAAGGAAACTAAGGAAGTTCTAATCACTGGCTTCTCAATTCCTTAAGGTTTGGATTTCTGTCCTTATCATGATACTTCACAGATGTTAAACACTAATGGAATGTTTGCTTAATTTATATTTTCATAAATTGCTTACATAATATGTTATCTCAAACGTGTGATGATATAATAATATCAAAACATTGAGTGGGTACCACGTGCTAGGCAATATTCTAAACACTTTTAGGCTCTGACTCATTTAATAGTCATAACAACTCAAGAAGAAAATTTTATTGTTTTTTCATATTATAGATGAGGAAACTGAGGCATACAGAGTTTAAGTCACTGGTCAGATGGCAAAAAACAAACAAGAAAATCTAGTAAGTTGCAGAACAGAATTCAAAGCAGTTTGCTCCAGAGGGTACTGCATTAGCCATGCTACGTTGTAGACGTACACAAGACAGCAAAACTAGCTACCTATCTAGATCTTTTATGGGAGACATCCAAGAACCATTGGAGTGGTAAAATTTCTGTCAATGAGAATATGAGCAAGGTTCCATTTTGCAACCCTGAGCCCTGAGCCCTTGGGTAGAGTATAAATGTTTGCATAGGTGTTCTTCCCAGCATCACTCAAATCAAATCATACGAGTCAGACATTATTTATATGAAATGTTGACCTGCCTGATGCACACATTTAGCCCAAGATTTTACATTAATTATTGCTTACATACTCTTTAGTTTTTAAATATGTTTAATGTTTATTCCCTTGGCTTAAATGCCTATAATCCTAGCATTATTATAATTGCATTCAGCTCTACCCATCTTTCTAAGAATAATGCCAATGTGGTATCACCTTTATCATGGCCAAAGAGGCTCTATTTCATTATAACCAAATAACAACAAGCTTGTTCTTAAATTGATGGCATGCTGAGGGCCAGTACTGTAGAACCATTTTATTTATTTCTATTGAAATGATAGATATTTTCTGCTGGACATAGAGATGGAGAAAATCTAATAAACTCAATAGGAAAAAAATATGATGCTATTACCTTTTAAAATAATGAAGTCTCAAGACCATCCATTTAAATCACAGTCATGATTTCTCTATCTTTTGCTATTCAAACACAAAGATTTCCAACAATGCCTGTTACTACCAAGAATATTTTTTAAAATCAAGGAACATATAGTAAATCTATACTTTGAAGTATATTTTGTGTTTATTTGGTTTATATTAAAGTTCAACAAAAATATTGCTAATGAAAGCATACTTGTATAACAAAGAAAATTACTGGACCTGATGTTTCTATGGAATTTCTGATGTACTTTAGTAGGTTTATTTTCTCTTTAAATTAGGGATTTTTTGTTGAATAAATTAAATAACCGGAGAAAGCATCCCTCAAATTAGGTACTCCCCCAAACCCTGATTTTTTAAATAGAAAATCTAACAACGTAGAATGCAGATGGCATCAACAAATGGGGGGGGGGGTTCTTCATTCTAAAGGTCCCTATGCATACACGTTAAATAAAATTTGCATGCTTCTTCTCCTATTAATCAGTCTTGCCTCATGCCAGTGATTTTTTTAGTGAACATTTATTGGACCATCGGTCACCTCCCCACACATAAAAACCCAAGAGAACTGGGTTTGGAGAGTTTCCAGGTAGCTGAACACATGGAGGTTCCAGGAGGGTAGTGCTCCCAGGGAGGGTAGCCCCGCACCCCTTCTCTATAATTCCCCCTATATGCCTCTTCATTCATATCCTTTGCAATATCCTTCATAATAAACCAGTAAACATGCTTCCCTGGGTTCTGTGAGTCATTCCTGCATATTAATTAAACCCAAAGATGTGGTTGTGGGAACTCCATATTAAAGCTGATGGGTCAGTAGTTTTGAAGGCCTGGACTTGTGACTGGTGTCTGGGAGGGGAGGGGTAGTCTTGTGGGACTGAGCCTTGTGGGATCGAGCCTTGTGGGATCTGACACTGCCTCTAGGTAGATAGTGTTGGAATTGAATTAGAGGACACTCAGTTAGTGTCTGCTGCGTGGTGAAGAGAAACGCCTATATTTGGTCACAGAAGCCCTCTTCTGTGCTGATTGTTACATGAGAGTAGAGAGAAAAATTCAGTTTAGGAGAGTTTTCCCTAAAGTAATTGGTATCAGTGAAGGAATATTTGCCCAGGCTCAAGGAAACACGTGGCTTGGGAAAAGAAAGAAAAAAAGGGTGGAAGGTGGAAGGTGAGGAACCTTTGACTCTTGGGTGGCTACATGGTCACCCATGGTAGCTAGCAGCTGTGCTAAGATCAGTTACTAAAGGTAAAATTTTCGGTGGAATTTAGAGATGGAGCCAACTCCTGAGGAGCTTATTTACTGAATGCAGAAGGAAATGGAATCTAATAAGACATAAGGGAAATATTTAATATCTTGATTTTTGCTAAAATAAAATTAAAAATGAATGCTGAGTGGGACCTTGATATTAGACCAAGCTCTGACTTCAGTAAGTCCGGATTTAGGAAGCCAGCCTGAAAGCCACCTTCCAAAAGCAAAATTATGCAGGAACAACAGAAAGTTCCTCCAAGACTTGAGGTTACCAAGAAGGTGGTCAATATGGAGGAAGGTTAAAAACAAGTAACTGTTGAAACCAGAGGATATAG